CTTCACATAGCTTGAACGGAGTCTCTCTATCATTTTCTGGAATTTTTTCCACTGCTCAAACTCACATAAGACATTATTTTCACTCTCAAATTTAACATTTCAATAAAACTATCATTCCCCCCCCCCTCCTTAGTTGTAAGAGAACCAATCGGAGATGTCTGTTTTTTACGTTTTACTGGTGTGTCTGCCGGCCATTACTTTGGCCCAGCAGGTGAATCTCAAGCCTTACAACTTGACCGCTACCGTGATGTTCCTTGACGTGGACACGAACGTGGACGGCCAGATCACAAAACAGGAAATCGATGCTTCCTTCAGGGTGAGTACAGTGCTCGGAGTGCTCAGGCTGATGTGTCGATGGTACAGTGCAATGTAATATGTGTATGTAAGAGTTTCATCCAGGTGTGTATGTTATAATATTCATCTATGTGTTTGGTTAGAGCTCACTTATGAGTGTAGGCTAGATTCCCATTTATGTGTGTTAGTTAGAGCTCAATAATGAGTGTAGGCTAGATTTCCATCTATGTGTGTTGGTTAGAGCTCACTAATGAGTGTAGGCTAAATTTTCATCTATGTGTGTTGGTTAGAGCTCATTTATGAGTGTAGGCAAGATTTCCATCTATGTGTGTTGGTTAGAGCTCACTAATGAGTGTAAGCAAGATTTCCATCTATGTGTGTTGGTTAGAGCTCACTAATGAGTGTAGGCAAGATTTCCATCTATGTGTGTTGGTTAGAGCTCACTAATGAGTGTAGGCAAGATTTCCATCTATGTGTGTTGGTTAGAGCTCACTTATGAGTGTAGGCTAAATTTTCATCTATGTGTGTTGGTTAGAGCTCATTTATGAGTGTAGGCAAGATTTCCATCTATGTGTGCATGTTATAGATAAATATATATGTCTAATTTATAGTTTTGTCTACGTGTATATGTTACAGTTCTATCAATGTGTGTATGTAAGAGTTGAAGCTTAGAGCTTATGTCAGAGATTTATCTAAGAATTTTTATGTGAATTGCAAATATGTTATTTTTTTACCTGAGAGTGCAGGTAAGATTTTCATCTGATGTTTGAGTTATATCCGTACAGATCTATGACACAAATCGCAACAATCAAATGTTCTATTTATATATCTGCAGACCTACAACACAAATCAAGACAATTAAATGTTCTGTTTATATCTCTACAGACCAATGACACCAATCAAAACCATCATTTGTTCTATTTATATCTCTACAGACCAATGACACAAATCACAACCATCATTTGTTCTATTTATATCTCTACAGTCCAATGACACCAATCACAACAAATCAAATGTTCTATTTATATCCCTGCAGATCTATGACACCAACCACAACAATCGCGTCAGCAGACAAGAGTACATCAACCACATCGACGCCAACACGCCATCGCTGCACCCCCTCTCGCAAGCCCTCTACGACATCTATGACGTGGACAGCGATGACCAGCTGGACCAGCACGACTTCGAGAACCTCCTCGCCCTGATGGACGGCGACGCCAGTGGCTCTGTCAGCCATTTTGAATTCGTCAGGTACACTGGATGACAACTGGACGCAAAGTGTATATTTATTCTCCCCGAACTCTGGTGCAGGGCTGGTGCAGATTGGGGGGGGGGGTGGGGGTCGTCGGGGGCGGCCGGGGCGCTGGGTGTATTAAGACACGTCATAGCCCTCTGGTGCAGGGCTGGTGCAGATTGGGGGGGGGGGGTGGGGGTCGTCGGGGGCGGCCGGGGCGCTGGGTGTATTAAGACACGTCATAGCCCTACTGGAACTTACTGGTCGTGACGGGACACGACCTGGCACCGGAGCAAGTTACTGAAGACACTGTAATGATGTTTGTACTTCTGGAATGATTGGCCTATGATTATTATTTTTTTTAATATTCTATGAACGAGTTTTTTAAATTAAAAATATCCTATGAATTATGAATATTTTTTTAAATATCCCATGAACTATGATTTCCTTTTTTTTTAAAAATATCCTATGAACAATGTCTTTTTAAAAAAAAAATATATCCTTTAAACTGATTTTTTAAAAAAAACTCCTGTGAACTATGATTTCCTTTCGTATTTTAACTTGCCCTGTCAGCTGAGGAAGGCTTTTAGCCGAAACACTCTTTTCTGATCTCGCTCTACGCTTTCCTTAAGTAAATGAAAGAAGAGCTGTCAATTGATGTTGACTCATGCATTCATTCCCCCCCCCCCTTTCCCTCTCAGGTACTGGAGCATTCTATTCACTGACCTGGAGCATCTTCACACCAAGAGACGAGACGAGGCTCACAACGAACCCGGACACCCTTAGATTGTGAAATTAAAAAAAAATAAAAGATAAATAGTGTACATAACCTTCGCAAGGAATTATGATAGTTCATTATTTGTTTGTTTGTTTGTGTGTTTGTTTATTTTTTGTTGTTGTTGTGGTTTTTACTTTGGTGTTCACAGATTATTTAATGTGATTTCTTGGGTCAAACTTTTCAAAGTCATCTTTTAAATAACCGCCTTGCCCGAGTGTATAAGTTGTTTTATAACAAAGATGAACCCCACACAGATTTAAATACGCGAATGAAACACTTTCTCTCTCTCTCTCTCTCTCAGTCTCTCTCTATCTGTCTCTCTTTCACTCTCTATCACACACTCGCTCCCTCTCTCTCACCCCCCCTCTCTCTCTCTCTCTCTCTCTCTTTATATATATATATATATATATATATATATATATATATATATATATATTTGCTACTCCGCGAGCTATAGCCGAATAACTTCAATGATGAAATAGTCCTTACTCGTGGAGCGCTGAAGAACCCCCCCCCCCAAACAACTGGTACATTTATTAAACTAAATTATCACTTATTTGTCTGCACCCTGGCACGTACGCTGCAACATCGAACCCACCGTCCAATGAACACACTTAACATGAGGACATCCTTTATATTTGTTCGTCAGTCTGGAGTCGACCATGACCACTTTAATCATCAGAGTTTGTGCTGGGTCTGTCTGTGGGTGCGCAGATGGCTAATGAGGCCGATTCTGGCACGAAATTCTCTTGTGCAGTAGGTGCAGGGGAATGATGGCGCATATATAGGGGCAGAGTCAGACCGGGCCTTCCTGGCATGTCTCTTGCGCTCTGCAGTCACTGTTCTGCCAACTTCATGTTGCATTGAGCTCCTGTGCGAAGTTCGATCCTTTGCTTGTTCCTCCCAACATCCTATATGAAATATATATGCAACATTAGATCGCCGACTGCAGCAACTATCCCCTGCCCGCGGTGCCAGAGATTATTCTGAGCACGAATCGGACTAGCAAGCCACCTACGAGCTCACCGTAACCCACCCTCCCCCCTAACTGGGTGACAGGATGGTCCTTGTTGATGTTGTCGGACGAACAACAACAACACACACATACTCACACACACACACACACACACATATATATATATATATATATATATATATATATATATATAAATATATACTTATATATATATATATTTTATTTGTGTGAGTGTGTGT